GGGAAAAGGTCCCCCCTTTTTTTTTCCCCTTTTTTTTTTTTTTTTTTTTTTTTTTTTTCCCTTAACGGACAGCTAAGTGTTCGAACTTCTACTCTATAATTAGAATAAACCGTTTCTCCCTCACTTTTTAACGCAGCGTGTAGCTTAGGTCAAATATCCAAACCATCTCAACGAGGTGTCTGTCAATAGCCCTAGAAGGGAGAGAACCTGCAACACCTTGATGACCCCTCCGGTGAGAGGTTAAAAAAAAAAATTAAAAAAAATCAATCTTAATTCAACAAGTTGTGCTCCTCTCATTTCTTATTATGTTTCAGGGATTATTTTTATTTTTAACTTTGCCTGCACCTAGTCAAGATCCCGTTTCACCCTGCCTTTTAAATCCAGCGTGGGTCTCTATAATAAAGCACATAACCCCTCTATACCCATCTCCCAGCAAATCCATATTTTTGGCTGGAATTTAAAATAAATCCATTTATCTCAGCGCCCTCTACTGCTCGCTGCGGGCTCTCATGTGCAGGCGGGTTTCTCACAGCCCTTCACTGAAAATCCAGTCTTTTTGGATGTGTTTGGTACCTTTTCTTGCGAACTGGGTCTTTTTTTTTTCCCCCGACACTTTTCTTCCATATGTACTCGTGTGTATTTCAGAATTCAGTATTTTATGTTGAAAAGTTTCTTTGCAATGTAGTGGACGGGGGGGGGGGAAATTAATGTAACATTGCAGGTATCTCAAAATGTAGCTTAAAATTTGCTGCCTGCTTATTCACAGATTTACAAAAATCAGTGATTTCATGTGCATTTCATACCTTTTCTCTGTGAATAACACCAAGACTCGTCTCTCAAATCTAACTTCCCATCTCGTTCACTGCTAAATCTACTTTCCCTGTTACTTCTGCAGACATAATCAGAGTTTTTCACAGAATCATAGAATCCTAGAATGATTTGGGTTGGAGGGGACATTTAAAGGTCGTCTAGTCCAACCCCCCTGACATGACCAGGAACATCTTCCACTGGATCAGGTTGCTCAGAGCCCCGTCCCACCTGGCCTTGAATGTTTCCAGGGATGGGGCACCTCCCACCTATTCAGGTAATCTGTGCCAGGGTTTTACCACCCTCGTCGTAAATAATTTCTTCCTTATATCTGTCTGAATCTCCCATCCTTTAGTTTAAAATCATTACCCCTTGTCCCGTCGCTAGAAACACTACTGAAAAGTCTGTCCCCATCATTTTACATTTTCCCAAAACCACCAGTGCTCATTCTTTGTGGGGAGACATCACCAAACCCCCTCACTGCTGCCTGCTCTCGTAGAGGCCAGGAGCAGTAGGTAGCAAGCCAGGAAAGCTCAACCAGATGTGCTGAGCCCCCACGGTCAGACCCAGTTTGCCACATTTAATAACCCTGTGGGGAAAAGGCTGTGGGATTTCCCATCAGTGGTGACCTCCCTCCGACACCCTTTGCCACAATCGCTTTCAGGCTGTTCCCAAAGCCAGGATCAGGGTGGAGTCACCCGTGGGCATCAGGACTCACTGCCTGCTGTCCCGAGGCTGCCAACCTCCTTGTACCACTGCTTGCAGTCAGGGAGGACAGGGCAGAGACAGTAACTGAGTCTGAAATATCTTCCTTGGGCTCCAAAGCTTCCTAATAACCGTGCACAGGAGTAAGCAAGATAGAAAGTGCTGGTGTGACTATCCCATCAGTACTGCCCAGCTGTGAAAAGAAGAGACAGAAATATCTTTCTGAAGGCTAGCAGAGTCTTCCCTGTGATTCCTGACCTTTTGTACAAGAGGAAGAGAGTCAAAAAGTTCCACATCAAACAGACTCAGCAATGAACAATCAACCCAAGAGTCACAAAACAGAACCCCCATCAGCTGGCTTGTTGCCTCTGTTTCTCTCTCAGTTTTAAAAGCATGATTATAATGATATTTGGCAAACTCAGGGAATGCTTTGGACTCCTTTTTGCTAGTAAGGCCAGAGTCCTGTTAGTAAATGGTTCACAGTATGTCTGAAGATATCTAGTCCATTTTTGTGACGGCATTTCTGCTGTCTTTGCTTTGCGGATTTCTCTTTGTCCTCTGCATCTGGGTCTCTTGGGATGGTGAGGAATTGCAAATGATGAATAACAGCACGGCAGTTAGGGCAGAGATAACCCTGTGGAAATCCCGGTCCTTACCACAAGGAGACACTGAAGATACTCTTGGTAAATATTTCCAGCTGAGTGGGACCATGC